AGGGTCGGGACAGTTCGGGTTGGGTGGGGTTGGCTTGCTAGCCAGATTGAGGGCGCAAAGCGGCTATCGTGGCACGAGCCCATCGCATCCGACTCGTCGGCTAAAAAATAAACGTGTTTGTTTTCAGGCGACGAGTCGGGCGATCATCCCGACCCGACCCGACCGAATCCCTTCCGCAATGGACACCCGGTATCACTGCTGCACGGATGACGCCTGCCGTTTCTTCTACATTGCGGAGGGGGTCGGGTCTAGTCGTTCGATCGCACAATTCCTCGCCTGAAATCAGATTTGTTTGTTTTTTGAGTGACGAATCGGGTGCAATCGGTTTGTGCCACGATAACCGCGTTGCGCCTTCAATCTGGCGAGCAAACCGACCCCACCTGACCAGACAGACCCGATCGTGCCAATAACGCTACAACTTCAAATAACTGAAGAAAAAGCTTGTTTCTAAGATCAGTGTCAGCACAATATAATTTAACCTAGATGACCGCACATTGTCCTGGAGGAAAGACACTATCTTAGAGTACGATATAGTGTCAAACGTTTTTTTGAGAAAAGTGAAGTTCATCGACACAATAACAGCCATTTAGTGCTGAGGTAGTGCTTGATGAAGCCGACGTTGGGCGTTCACTGATCAAAACAATCAAGAAACGACAAATGCAGTTTTTTGGTGAATAGACATGAAGCTCTCACTGGCTAAATTGTAGGTAAACGAGGCAAGGGTAGGCCCAGAGCTACCTATTTAGGGAACCTAAACAATAAATGGGTAACGGGTAAAGATCAGGGAAATGTATTTTTTAGAAGCATACGAGCAAAGGAATGAATGGAGGACCATGACCGCCGGTGTCTCCCTCAGATCTGACACAGGATGATGAGTGCTGAGAAAAAGTAAGACAGACAGACAAAAACATCCAAGGGAAATAAAAAAGATATGACCTAGGAGTGGCGTCCGCCAACCTACCACAGTGTCTTACTTTACTTCACTGTATCTATCCTCTTGTACCTCTATGGCGTCGAGGGGAGAAAGAGATTTTTGTCTCTATCAAGTTGGATGGCCTGGCTGGGTGGGATGTTGTAGGTTGTGTCATTATACAAGTAATAATATCGCAAAAAAAGAGAAAAGGGAAAAGTGAGAGAGAAGTAGTCGTTTGTGCAGGGGACTGTCTTAGACAGGAGGTCGTTAGATAAGGTTCAACTGGGCTTGAGGTTTTTTTTCATATAATGTACACATGGACTGTGTTGTTGTTTTTTTGTTTGGTTGGTTGTTTCTTTGAAGGACCGGCACTATAGTGTGGCAGTTAGATGCTTTGTTGTAGCACGCAGGAGACCCGAGATCGATACCCAAGTGAGGAGAAAACTCGTGTCAAGTGTCTCACTCTTTCTGTTGGGATGTTGTATAAATCTCACCCCAGGTTGACCCTGACACCTGAGTCTGCGTCCTAAATTTCATTGAAAGTGCTGTAAAACACTCACATTGTTAAGTAAAGAACCCCGAGTTGACCATGACAGGCAGGGTCGGAAGCCTGCCTCGTAAATGGCCTAAATTATATCGATGGAGGAGTAAAAAACCACTTACATTTATGAAAATTTGAAAAAAATAATTTGAAGCAGGGATAACTACTAACTACGTGCTGGCCCCCATGTAAGTTACCTCCCGTGACATGACGCAAGTGGCAGGGGAGGCAAGCCGGG